ATGATTAAACGAGAAAGAAAGATACCAAATAAGAACGAGCGAGGCGAGAAAAGGAGAGCAGGGAGGACTAGAGAGAGAGAGAGAGAGAGAGGCTGTAACCGCTGCAACTGCAAACGAACCTTGTGTGCATTCGGAACAGTGATGTATGCGTCCATCCCGCGGAGAGAATAATAGTTAATTAACTGTGTTTTGTGTATGTTTATACAGCTGGAAGTTAGTCTGCTTCAGTGGGCGTCTGGTGTCTCATCTGTAGATGAGCAATTCAGCCAGTCCAGTACAAGCAGCTAACCTGGGGTCTTTGACGTGCACCTCGCGGTGGCGATTCACAATCGCATGCCGGTACAATGCTCATCCAGATCGAAACGGACAGGGTTGGGGATTGAACCCAGGATTCCCGGGCTCTGCAGCGCGAGTTTTCGCCCCGCGTACTCCGAGCTGCGGTGGGTTAACACAGTCCACCTAAAGCCCCTCGACGTGTTTGCGTTTGTCTCGCAAGTAGCGTCAGATGTGCCAGCGCACGAAGTCCGTGTCACGAGCGGCCCACGGGAAGCGAATGGCGGCGGATCACCCGCTCGTGGCACGTCTCTTGCGCGTTTCCATAACAATGGTTGGCGGTACTTGTGAGCGTGAATTTGACCGAAAAACGTTACCTCCACCGCCGATCTTATTTTTCTTTTTCCCCTTTATTGTGGCCATCAATTATTGTGGAAGAAATCTGAAATCGTGGCTGATTGAAGGGGGGCACACGCTGTGTCGTCATCGATACACCCGATTTCGATCGTGAAGCCGCAGTGGCACTGTTCGTATGTCATACAAAAGACGCGGAGTTTCTCTGCGGACACGCGTCGAGCATTCCCAAAGAATGTTCGCTCTATAGACGCTTTGCAGCAGCTGTGCATGGGCACCGCCATAACTGACCTTCAGTTTTTGTTTCTCCTTATAACGTTTACTTCACTTCATTATTACCATAGCAGACCAGGTTATTGTCATCTTAGATTTTATTCCGTCTTTCTCCCCAGCATTGGCTTTTGTGGAGGCTCGTCCACACCACTTTCAATGGCTCGGTATCTCGTTAAAACAAGAGAAGGTCAGCAATGGCGGCTGTATTCTGGCGCGTGTGTAAAGCGTCTATACATATGTATGCATGCAACATGTTCAAAGAGTTTTTTTTTGTTTTTTTTTTATGACCATCGTGACGGGAACGCCATACATGGAAGAAACACGCCACAGACGGTGACTGCAGAAGAATGTCTTTTGTGTAAAGTATTAGCTCAGATACAGCCACGGATTGTTAAGGTTCTGCTATTCGCCGTCATCCTAGCGATTAAACACAAGTTACTACCCGCGAATGCGTGTCGAGGTATTGATTGTCATGAGCCAAACTCAAATGACTACGCAGACTTCGCGTTCACTCTTTGAGCGGCGTTTAAATATCGTCACAGCGGAGATCACAAAGCTCGATGACGCGCTCCAGGGGATCGCGTTGTTGGCGCTGCCCACCCGCAGCCCCGTCACCAAGTTGTGCGAAGGAGAGACTGAAAGAAAAGGTCCGCTATTATCCTTGGAATTTCATCACGACGAAGACGCTTCTTGGTCAGTGACGTTGCGTTCGAGTATTGTGGGGTCCCGCTAGTGCTAGTCAGCTGGTGTAAAGTGAGAAATGTTCCTACCCAATATCGTTGCACAGCCCCTTTAAGCGTTTAGGGTCGCCCTTTTTGCACGCGCACTATTTCCATTGTGCGACACCAGTTTCGGGCGCGTATCAAAAATGGCGATTTAACCCCCCCAAGTTTCAAAATAAAACAGATCGTGAAACGCTAGATAAAACAAATACATCGTAACGCGGGAAAAAGAAAAAGGAAGGGGGAGCGGGGAGCTTCATCGAAAATTGGATGGATCAGCTTTGTTCAGCAGACACAGCGGTAGAGGTGTGCGACCGCATCGCCGGATAGCTCGCCGTCTTGCTCGATTTAATTATGAGCGCAACGCTCCCGTCTCCCCTTCTCTGTCTTTCATCTGCTCCTTCGTTCCGTTCAATCCCGCCTTCTTCTCTGTCCCTGGTCTGCCCAAATATTGGCGTACACACCAGCCGCCGCCTGCGCACGTACATTCGCGTGCACTCCGTGATGTGCGTAACCCGGTTAGACCTTCAGTCGCTCGCGCCGTTTCCCGCCACGTCTCTTCTCTATAGTGAAAGAGACAGTTACATTGTCTGGGTCTGGGAAAGTTTAATAGCAAACTCCTAGTAAGAACAAAAACGTTTTTTCTTGGGTTAACGCAGATGTTCAATGGATACGCAAGATTTGAAGAAAAAAATTGAAAGCGACATTTTTTTTTAATGTTTTATATGCGTGAAATGCAGAACTTGAGCACCGATCGTTTACGTTTGCTTAGAAGACATTACGCAGTCGTTTCGGGGAGTAAGAACCTACATTTGATAAATGTCGCCGCTAAATTTAGCAGAAAAACTGGCTTCGTATAAAGGTCACGTGACGTTCATTTTTTCCGCTAAGTTTAGCGGAGAAACTAAATTGATGTCTCGGTCTCGTAACGTCCCGTCCCTTGACGTCAATTTCCCCGCCAAATTTAGCAGGAAAACTGAACTGGTGAATAGGTCTTTTGACGTCGATTTTCCCGCTAAATTTAGCGGGGAATCTAAATTTGTCTGTAAGTCTCCTGACGACCGGTCACTTGACATTAATTTTTTGGGGGAAATTTAATGGGGGACCGTATTAAGTGTAGATTCATGTGACGTCAATTTCCCCGCTAAATTTAGCGGGAAATGCACGAAAGAACGGACGGTCGGACGGACGGGCAAAATTTTGGGATTGGAGGGTCCTTATGAAAAGTATTTCATGCTTTAAGAGCTAACAAAGCAGGCAGCATATATATCCATCTCTCTTTCTCTTTTCTGTCGACTCATGCCGATAGAAGGGTTCCTGGAACGCGTCTTCGACTTGCCTGTTTAGCGTCCAATTAAGTATTTTAATGCGTTAGCATTAGAACACTCGTTTTGGAGAAAACCCTGTGGTGTCTTTCGTTTGTCAGCGCCGGGGAGAGAGGAAGAAAGAGGGGGAGAGGGTAACGCGTGCGACACTCCCATTGATCTGAAGCGCTGACTTCAGCACGTGTCAACCTCTCTCTATCCCCGGCGCTGACAAACTGACAGACACCGCCGGGTTTTTGTCAAAAAAAGCCCCCTTGTTTTCGTCAAAGTCAGGCGCGCAGCTGGCGCGAAGCCAGAAAGGAGGAGGCGCCGCGCATCACCTAGATAACAAAGCCGCAGTGCTGAATAAGGCGGCGTCATTAGAGAAGGCCAACGCTGGACACAGACTGAAAACGAGTGCTGCATTTGCGCTCGGCTTCGAGTCCAGTTTGAGCCGAAGGTTGACGCAATTGCCGTGTCCAATCTGTGCCCATCGCTGGAGTTCGTTGACGCCATCTCATTCAGCACTACCGCTTTGTTATCTCGGTGTTGCGGCGCGGCGCAGTGGAATGAGGGCATGCTCAGTTGCCTCACTGCCGTCGCCGGTTGTTCTTCGCTCTGGGTTTCCGTAGTAGCGCTACGTGGGCTCAGATGTGTGTGTGTAGCTAAAACGATGGATGCGGTTCCCTCCACAAGAAATATGGATGCGGTTCCTTCACCAAGTGGTATGGACGTGGTTCTTTCCATGAGTCATATGGATGACCGTATACAAAGGCGTTGATGTGCTCTGACTCTTTGTCTCTTTTGTTTTTGTACTCTTTGTACAAAAAAAGGGGTAAAAAAAATTACAGGAATGTTTATAGGTGGATTCTTCTAGAATCCATTAGCGTGACCCTTGGGAAGCGCCACACATGTCACCTTTTGGGAAACGCTAACAGTGAGCCCGTAACGAGGCTATAAAAAGGCAGTCGAAAATGGAGGAAGCAAAAGAGAATGCCAAAGGGGAAAAGCAAAGGGGTCAGCGTTAGCGTTTCCCAAAGAGGGCGTGTGTGGTGTTTTCAAGGGTCATGTTAATGCATTCCCTAAGAATCCATCAATGAATCTTGCTGTAATTTTTTATTGACGTCATTATTCTCACCTTCTGTTTTGAGCCGCCTACCGCGGGCCGAAGGTGAGCGTTTGAAGGATTTATCTGACACCCTCAAATACGTAGTGCACTGAGGCCTACAAGTTTCATCCCCGGCCTTGAACCCATTAGTTTAATGAATACGTTTTCTCGCTCACTCACATCGATCAACAGAACGACAAATGGTCGTCGCGTGAAAACACCCTATACAAGCCCATACACTAAAAATGGACCAGAGGTGGCAACAAATCATGTCACAAAAGCTGGAATGTCCCGACAAATCAAACAAGAAAAAAAAACGAGAAAATTTAATTGTGTCAGTGTCGTGGCAGCGTCCCAACGCCTGGCTGCTAAAGCTTCCGTGTCTGCTGAGTCCACTTTTGCTGCTGTGCTACAGCCAGAATTGCGACAGGGAGCAGCATACCACAACTGCGAATTCATCGGGCGGAAATCGAGGGACGACGAATGAAAATGGGGTAAACACAGCAATCCTAGGCGCGGAGCAAAAGCTCGACACAAACTCGGGGCGCAAACGAGCTGATAAAAATTAGACATAAACGGGTAGGGGTGCGGTTCAAATCCATAATACGGTTCCCCATAATACGATCCTAAGTATCCTGGGCGGCTCGATCCTCACCCCCACCCATTTCAGTCCGGATGAGCATTACACGGATGCGCTGTCATGTGTCGCTACTGCGCGATGCGTGTTAAATACCTCTGATTAGCAGTAGTACTTTATCGGATAAATTTGTCACCTACGGTATAAACCGGTGCTGCCATACCTCCAGGGTAGACCTTATGCTGTCTCAATACGAACGTCTATTTTGATTTTGCTTTCACATTGCTGTCAGATGTAACTGCATCACTTTGCGATTCTTTTGTTCGATGTATGTTGCTTACGTTGTTTCCCTTTTCTTTTTATTTTCTCTTGGCGCATGTGCAGACGGCGACGAAGAGGACGTGCGCGAGGGCTGTCCCCAGAACCGGGAGGAAGCGGCCGCCCTGGGCCGTCGCTGCCTGCGCAAGTGCAAGACGGACGAGGACTGCATCAGCACCAAGAAGAAGTGCCTCTGCGACGGGCTCTGTGGCTGGAGCTGCGTTCGGCCCGGTACGTCTTCACTCGTGCGGGCCTTTCTTCGTCTTAAGACGGAGTCACAAGCGCCGTGTGATCACGAGTCCTCAAAGTGCGCGCGTCTGCAGCCTTTCTGTTATAAGTCGTTAGTCGACGTCACACAGCTAGTATACAAAAGACAGTCTTCAGACACTGTCTGACGCGCGTTTCTTCCTCGCATGACTCTCTTGTCACATAGGTCATACAAAAGCTTTTTGCAGACATGTTGGAAGCGTATACATATGTGCGAAGCAAACGTGCTTACAACATGCGTGCGCGTGCGTCCGAAGATAATTCTCTCGTCACAATGCGTTCCACAACCCAGTAGACAAATATGGCATGCGCGCAGAAGGCGATTTTTGGAATGATCTACACGCAGCCCATCATGCATTCGTCCAACACCACCTGGAAGACACAAGGCCTGTTCATGACGCCATGTTAGGTGAATCTTCGACGTCTTCGGGGAGGGGGGAGGGCGATTAATTACAGTCGAACATGCGCATATTCGCACGACCGCTGCGACTGGAACCGACCAGAAGCACTTTTCTGGAGAGGTCTACGACTAGTCCAATAACTGTGTTCGGCGCTCTACCGAATTTTCGTCATCTGAGCTGCGTTCTGGGTATACCCCCTGCACCTCAGTCGACGCTTCGATACACTGGGGACAATCAGGCTGTGCGGAAAGTGCTACGCAAAAGCGTTCGTCGTCTATTTATGGGGGCGTCGTCTTTCCGGCTGTACATGTCATGCTCAGTAAATGCGCCATGCTCTTGCGCTTTTAAGCTGCGATAACACTGATAATGCATCGTACAAAATGAAATGCACGAGAAACGTTTACCGATACTCTGAGTTGCCAGATGCCAAACGCCTATGTTCACGGCGGTCTTCGTTAGATAGTTTAACACGTACCATGTGTACACTCGATAGTTGTTCCTAGAATGAAACGATACTATGCCGCTAATCGGGCCGATAAACCTGGCGATCTTCCAGAGCCTTCCATATACTCGCGAGCTCCACTCCTTCAGTGTGCAAAGCTGGTCGAGCTCCTCCTCGCCTATCCCTCTGGGTCGCATGACATCTCCGTCAACCAATCAAGCGTCGAGCACCTCACTCCTACTCTCCCACCCGTCGACCAATCAGTGTCGAGTCTCATGGTCACGTTTTTATCCGTGCTTCTCGAAATGCCCAGCACCTAGCCAAACAAATCTATTCACGTTAATAGTGCCTCTACTCATGGCGATGCGTCGATTCCCGCCTGGCGCAAACACTTTTTTAGGGCAATAGCCTCTCCCCCTTCCCCCCCTACACACGCGCACGCACGCACGCACGCACGCACACCACACCTCTCACGGACACCACACGCACACACCACACACGCAAACCACACACCACACACACACACTCAAAGCCAATCAGTGTCAAGCCTCGCGGCCACGCTTTTATTCAGGCGTCACTTTTTGGCTTCGCGAAATTGCAAGCACCTAGCCAAAGAACGGGATTCATGCTTGTAGGAGTCACATTGGTCATACAAGAGCTGTCTGCAGACATGTTTGACATATGTGTGCAGCGTACATGCTTCGCACATGCTTGACGCCTGTCGGCAGATATTAGACATTTTGCTAATTTACCCAACCATTAAGTAGAATTCTGGGAATGTAGGTCTGCACGCGCTCGCCTTCCCCGTATAAAATATTCTAAGAAAGAAAAGCGGTGACAAACTCGAGTGCAAGATGCCATCTGTTTTAGGCATTGCTTTAGAACAGTTACTGCTGCATACGCCGGAACATGCCGCGTGTGAACCTACATTCCCAGCATTCTGCTTCTGCTCGTGTAATTTCAGCAATATGTCTATTTTGGCGTTAGGTCTGCAGCGAACGCCGTTTTTTTATTTTTTAGAGCGCAGCTCTTAGGCGCCCGGCTTGAGCGGTGTCACCGTCGGCGTAACCGCGCGTTGCATTATGGGACTGAATAAAAGGTTAAAAAGCGCGAACAAACGAGGACAATAAAGAAACACGGACGACAGGCGCTTCACTCTCAACTGGTTTTTATTAACACCACTGTCACTTATATATACACATTGCCCAAACCACATCGAATTCAATCGCGACAATCAGAGCCAACCTTCCAGAAAGTTCGCGCTTTTTAACCTTTTATTCAGTAATGGACCAACTAGCCCAAACCCAAGTTTTAATGCATTATGGGACGTTTTCCATAATGACGTCACGAGTGACGTAACGAAGGTCACTCGTGAAGTTCACGACGAAAGTCACGACCTTCACACTGACCTTCACGAGTGACCTTCACGAGGGTCACTAGGGTCACGAGTGACGTCACGAGGGAGCAGGGAGGGAGGGAGGGAGAGGGAGGGAGGGGGAGTAGGGTGGGTAGAAGAAGGGAGGAGGAGGGAGGACGAGGAGAGGAGGGGAGGCGGAAAGGGTACGAAGGAGGAGGGGCATACCCTTCTCTTTTTACCTTCCCCTTCTCCTCCTCAAGAGTTGTGCTCTAATTCGGCATTACAGAGAATTGTAAACGGCTTTCATTTTTTATGGTGTATTAACATGGTGAGTGTGGCTTCAGTCTCTGCGTACGTGTTTATGTGTCTTCCGGCCTTTGAGTACGCTTGGACCCATGGCGAAGCGAAGTGTAGCACTTTTCTGTGGCATATCAGACGCCACGCAGGCATCCACAGTCGAGTAACTCGGAAATATTGGCTCGAAAAGGTGTCTGCAGACAAGTAGCGACATCTTTTAAAAATACCGCCTGCCATCGTAATTGGGACGATTCAGACGTCGCCACTCTATACGCACGCATGCGAAACAGCAAGAAATAACGCTAAAAGAGCGTGGCCGACTTAGCGGAAAGGAGGGAAAACGCCTATACAGTCAGAACATAGCGAATGCGGGGAACCGAAGGCACCAATCAAGCAAGGTGAAAAACGCAGCCTCACGGTTCATTTGGAATGGTGTGTCTCCGGATGCGCTTTTCACGGTAAAGCCAACCAAACACAGGGGAATCGCTCTTTCAATACACAAGTCTGTCTCTTTTATTTTTTTTGCATCTAATTGCGTTCTGACTTTAGTATAAACCAGGTATAGGAACGTCGCCTGCAATCTTGGTTCAATCAATGCGACGCGCGATTACGAGAAAGCAAATAAAATGATATGAAGTGTGCCCACCAGAAGAGTAGGGAGGCGTCGTGACTTTTTTTATTCAGGGGAATTGCAGCGGAAAACATTTGTTCACTGCTATAGCATAATCAGTGAACTGTACCGCTTAGCAGGTTTGTGCGCTGAACGAGGTGATACTATAGGGATTTTTACTGGACGAAATGTTTGAGTGCGCTGTTCAGGGGCCCTAAACTCGTAAAACACAAAGGTTGGAGCCGAAAGTTCGCGGAGCGCGCAGATTGGGACGCCGGCGAAAAAAGTGTGAAGTGATCGTCGTGATAGCTCAATCGGCGCGCTCCGTCAACTTCGGCCCCAACTTTGTGCTTGACTAGTTTAGAGATCCAAAGCAGCGTTCTTAGATCTACCAGTTGTCAACCTCCATGGAAGAGCGTCGCTCGAAAACGGTTCTCCTCTGTTGCCAGCACGGCCTGGTCGTGAGCCGCTACGGGCGGATAGATTTCCTGGCCCCATCACCGTCAACGCCTTGAAGATTCGGTGTTAGATTCGGTGTTAGGAAGGTCGTGTAATACTGCTTTGTTTTTTCGGGAATTTTTTAAACACTTGTGGATGGCGGAAAAGCGTTTCCTGTAATATTAGATAAAGCTTCAGATAACTGGCAACCATGATTTTAAAGCACAACATGGCCAAGTGTCGTTACTCTGAAGCGTAGCTTATTTAGTGGCGCTAGTTTTGCCGGAGAAGGGTTTGTGTCAGACTTTTGTCTGCTGCACCATACAAAAAATAGGACCAATGAGAGGCGACGCAAATATGATGGAGTGATGCCATGGCAACATGCTGTGTCTCGCCGCCGCGCGACGAGCATTCGCATTTTAGAGTGATCACGGCCAATGCCACGACCTACGCAGCCAATCTAGCGGTAAGAACGTGCTACGTAGCCTCGCGCTCCGCGAGTCCCACTCCGAAGAGTCCCATGCCCTTAAAAAAATTGGGTTGTGTGTGTGTTTATACAGCCTAGAACTTGGTCTGCCACACAGGGGCGACGAGTCTCCCAGCTGTAGATGAGCAATTTAGCCAGTGCGGTACAGCCGCTAGCCTGGGGTTTTTAACGTGCATCCCGCAGTAGTGATACACGACCGCACGCCGGTACGATGCTCATCCAGATCGAAACGGGCAGGGGTGGGGCTCGAACCCAGGATCCCTGGGTTCTGCAGCGCGAGCTTTCGCTCCACGTGCTCCGAGCTGGTGTGCGCTAGACCACTCGGCCACCGATCCCCCATACCATGCCCTTAGTACAGCCCCTTGATGCGTTTCTTTGTCTTACAAGCGGCATCAAATAATCGAATACGCCATTGGACGGGCCCGTGCTTCGTGCAACGCTCGGAAGCAAATGGCGACGCACCACTAAAATCACTAAAAGTAAAACTTTAAGTGATTTAAAGTAAAAAAAAAGGTGATGTAAAAACTAAAACCACTAAAAGTACAACGAGACCACTCACTCGTGGTCTCGTTGTACGTGTCTCTCGCGTTCGCCAGCAGTGGCTGTCGGTACTTGTGAGAAACGCCAAGCAATTTCATCATTGTCCGCGTTTTATTTTTAAACCAAAGGTACATAAAAAAAATGACCGTATCTCCACGTTGTGAATGATGTTGATTGGGGCGAAGCTCTGGTGGTGCTGATGATACTGATTTTATTGTTCATAGGTAGTGCTGATGGTACTGATTGTATTTTTTATTTCTCATAGGTGGTGCTGAGTTCCGGGTTGCGTTTCAACTTCATTATTACTGCTTTATGGTCGGTGAAATGCAGAGCCAGTGGTTCTTCTAGCGGATTACCTTGGATCCGCTAGAAGCCGTGGAAACGCATCCCCA